GCAAAAAACGATGGAGGATTCGGGAGTTGAGCGAGCCTTTGTGAGGATCGGCATGGGGATGTTGCAACTAGATAGTCTGGAGGCTGATGAAGCACTGGATCGTTTTGGAGAAACGGTTGTGACGATCTTTTGATCATCTCCTGTAATCGCTATGAAATCAATTCGTGCAGAGTCACAGGTCATCTAAGAAGAAAGGACTAGGCAAACTGGAGCCGCCTACGTTGACGCTAGATCATCTACTTCGCATGCTACGAAGTTTCCAACACTGGCTCAATTATCACTCATGTCCCCCCGGTCAGCTCTGATCATATACAATTATGAACTTCAATACCATCATAATCTTATCCATACATCCTCCGCCCTCTCAAGGCAGCCCCCTCCCACTATTAACCGCATCCGCCAACATACTAGTCCCAGGTCTATTCTCCGCATACCTTTCATAGCTATCCAAATAAAGCTCATCGGTACTCGTCGTCATCTTCACACTCCTCTCCGCCTCAATCGCCTCAATCCACCTCTTCCACCTACTCCCTTCTTCCGCCTCAGGCCACCCCCTATACGGACCCAACACGCGCCGCAACCGCAACACCCACGGCGCTATTTGCACATCCACGAAAGAGATATGGGGACCGAGGAAGAAAGGCCCAGTGGGATCCGCGGCATCAACGAGTTTACCAATTTGATCCCTCAATTCCTTCGCATGAGACACTTGTTCAGCAGCGTCCTGACACTGAAGTAATTTATAAAACCACGGAATAACATTCCGATTTACATGATCCGACCAGAGACGCGAGGTAGCACGCGTTTGCGCGTCAGGAGGTAAGAGGTGCGGTCCAGCCTGCAGGTCTTCGAGATACTCCATTATAACCGTTGATTCGTGGGTTGACCATGTAGGGCCGTGGCGGAGGGCGGGGACGAGACCGCGCGGGTTGACGTCGAGGAGGGATTGCGGTTTCTTGTAGGGATCGACTTCGATGTATTGGTAGGGGATTTGCTTGTGCTCGAGGGAGATCCAGACGCGTTGGACGAAGGGGCTGGTGGGGTTAGTGGGTTGGGCGTGGGGATGGTGGGCTTGGGGGGAGGTGTGGCTTACCAGAACGCGCTACCGTATAGTTTTACGTCGTCCTCTTTGGAATGGTTCTTGACTGTTGTCAAGGCATTGCCAGTGGCTTTTTTGTGGTACGTTTTCTTGGATGGATCTCCGCCCTGGTTGGTGTCGGTCATTTTGAATCGAACGGGCACACTAGCGATTCGCAAAGATGGTGTTTGGGATGGAGAAGGATTTAAACAAAATGTAGTCTTGGAGATGGTGGAAGGACGAGTGCAGGGATATGGGAAGAAGCAGGGCAATGTGCGAAGTTTATAGAAAGAACTCATGGACAATGTGAGAAACTTGGGAGCAGTGTAGGACCCGAGCAGCCAGTCTTAAATGACTGCAAGTTGAGCGATGGGCATAGTCGGTGTTCCAAGCATGCATCAAAATGACGTATGCGCTTGATCTGCGGGCAGTGTGGATCGCCATTGCACATCATCATGGCTAGATGGGTCGGTGGAACGGGAGAGCGGAGTCTGAGATCAAAGAAAGAAGTGAAGCTTACCTGCGATCTCTTCCTGTCGTCTTTGTCGATTTTGGCCTGCCACCTAATGACACTGTTCTTCTTTACACGGTCACTCTCCTCAAGCGAATGCTTATGTGGTCCAGCAACGCCATCGCCTTTGCCATTCCCGCCATTTCCATTCACCCTCTGGAAGGTATAGAACTTCTTCGATGGAGCGCCGGAGGAAGGGGCGTACTCTGGCATGTTCATGGCTGGCTGAGCGCTCATGTTCGGAGGCATATCCCAACTCCCAGCCGGTTGTTGCGGCAGTAGCGGTTGCTGCCCGAAGAACTGTGGATTCTGGTTCTGACCCGTCCGGTTGGGGTTCAGCGGCATGGTCGATGCGACCGGGCTCGGCGGGTCGTTCTCTGTGCCTGGTGGTCGTCGACCAAGTTGTTCCTCATACTCCCGTCGATCGAAGAACTCAGTAATCTTGATCTTGACATCGCACAGGTCCCGCTCTCTTGCAACTCTCTTCCTCTTCTTCTTGTCTGGGTCTGTGGATTTCTTGGTGCCCGGTGGTCGCCCTTTGAGTCGGCAATCCCAGTAGTGCGATACGAAGCGTTTGCGTTTATGCCGTTGGGTCGAGCGATGTGAGTAGACGTTGTCGATATGAGGGAAGTAAGTCTGGAACCTAAGAAGGTGGTCAGCGCATAATCCTGAGTATGCGAGCAAGTTATCATACTGCTCCTCGGTCAGAGTGATCATGTCATCGACATGAAACAGTCTCTCCCTCCATTCTTCCAAGTCTGGTGGATTGGGTATGAGCTTCAGGCCTTGGAACTGGCCATGGTTGGACAATGGAGTGTCGTCGCTATCGAAGGATCAGTAGGGTGCGCTTTGTCGCTACGCTCAAGCCAACATACCCATCCTGACTTTCCTGCTTATGCAGCAAAGGTGCTGGTTCTACATGCCGTGGCAGTGGCTGCGGCGCCGCGAGTATCGGTGGTGCAGGCGGTGGGAGAGGAAGTTGCTGGACCGGTCGTTGTACCGTCTGGGGGGATGCGTGATACTGTTGCGCGTGTTCTTGAAGCGGGGGAGGGGGCGCGTTCATGAATCGCGGACTCGTGCCATGCTGATAGCCCGCCGGCTGGAATGGCGGGTACGGCCCTGAAGGCGGGAGCGCGTGTTGCTCAAAGTGTACTGGCAGCGCATGCGACGGTGGTTGTTGGTGCGATGGCCCGCTCAGGGCGTATTGCTGTTGGTATACATCGCTCGTGTGGAGGTTCTGCAGCTCGGGCAGGACCTGATTGTGGGGATATAGCGTTCCGTCGGGCGACTGGTGTAGCGTCTGGAGAGCGCCAGGGTGCAGTGACCGGAGCTGCTGGAGGACAGGCGAGGAGGCCTGTTGCATGATGGCGCCGGTGTTGGACGCTGCTTTAGCCCAAGCCTTTTTCGTGAAAGATGCAGGTCCACTGTCGATCCGGTATCCGAGTAGTTAGGGTTGGCGAGTATTACAGGTGTAGACACGAATTGCATGGAGAGCACCTGTATTGATGTCGCGAACGCGTGTTGATTACTTCTTTGTCTGATTCAGCACTCTATGTGGCAATGGTCGCTCCGCACACGCTTAGGAGAGCTTTCAGCCGCCTAGCTGAGCAGCGTCTGTTTGAACATCAACGCTTTTGCGGCATTTCCAACTTTTGGCATCGGAACATATGGGCAAACGCTAGAAATGCCCCTTCACATAATCATCGTGGTCCTTCCATCTAAAAGATCAAATCCAGTCCCGTCAAAGGGACCGCTAACCCGCAACGCCATGCCCATGCCGTGACGAAGAGAAGCATAATCATGAAATACAGCCACGTCTACCAAATCTACTCTCCAGGAAGAAGGTTGCTCTTGACAGCAAACATCTTGGAAGTGACGCCTGCCGTGAAACCATCCACCTGCCTCGAGTATTGCTCCACCTGTCTCGAGTTGAGGAGCGTCTCCAGTCGGCTGGGTTCCTGGGGCAGCTTGAACAGCCTTTGCCACTCGTCTTCGGGAAGGAGAGGTTGCTTTGAGGCTGTGCGCGCCGCGTTCTCAGCCTTGCGCTTTTGCTGCCACGCAGTAATCTTGGTCTGCTCACGAGCGAGCGAACGCTGGTAGTACTGGTAGTTGTTGATCTCTGTGTGGTGGTTCTCGATGCTCTCAAGAAGCAAGTCGCAGGTCTTCTCGAGGAAGGGGTCGATGGAGAGGTCGAGCGAGTCGTAGTTGGGAAAGAGCGGTGCCTGGGGGGTGTTTGGGTCCTGCTGCAGAGCAGCTAGGTTGGGTGGGAACTTGAGCTCCTGCTTGGGCGCGTCGGAAGGTAGCTGGTGTAGGAGCGAGGTGAGGAGGTGGGAGTTGCGGATGGTGACTGGAAGCTCGACTAGGATGTCGTGGTAGCGGAGACCGCTCTTCTGGAGGCTGGGATTGTTAGTTTCCACCTTTGTCTAGAATCATTCATGCATACCTCTCAGTCGTGAACTTGCCCTCCTTGTATGCCGTCACGAAAGAAGGCGAGAGCCTGTAGGCGCGCAGGTTCAGGGTACCCTGAGAACTCCTGCTCACATCGTAGATCAAAGCGACGGTCCTCTCGTTTGGCTGGCTCTGGTAGAAGTACTGGTTCTCGATCGTGTTCAGGTTGACGAAGTTGCCCATGCTTGTGCTTGTGTACCAGCCCACGTTGTTCGCGTCCACGTTGACCTCCCGGAGGAACTTGATCATCTCGTTTCCGTATGCGATGTTCTGCTTGGCGCGGGGAGCACCGGCGGCGAGGTTTGCGACAGTCTCGTTCTGGCCATCGGTCTGCGCGGCAGAGACTTCGGGGAAGGGGAACGAGTTTGTGATTTCTAGGACGCCGTTCTTCTCCATGCCGACAATGCTTCCGGTCGCGAGCGAGGGGAACGACTTGCCGCTTGCGGTAGCAATCTTGATCGCGACCTGAGGACCACAGTCAGTCTCTCATAGCTACACCAGACTTCTATAGCGGCTTGTCTCCAGCACAATGGCGGGGCGCACAGTGGGGTACTGGCGCTGCACTTTTCCTACATACCAGGGCGTCAATCTGCACCGTCTTGAACAGCGCATCTTTCTGGGTGTCCGCCATCGTGAAGTCGTCGAAAAGGTCGGGTTGAACGTTCGGCGGGGGTAGTAGACGATAGGCGTGTGTCGTTGTTAGGAAGCAGATTTCGGGCTCCAGTGACTCTGCCAAGATTCACCTCGCTTACTGCACGCTAGCCACATTAGACTAGCCCAACAGTAGGCCCGGCCAGGTACCTCAGCTTGGATTGAAGATAGTCGTGGACGCGACTCCCTGATATTGATAATAAGGCCGAAACTCTATACATCATCACTAATATATAGGTTCCGTCTCATCCGCTGCACAAGAGACAGTTCACAACTCCAGTCCAACTCAACGTCAAGATCAAAGCCAACAACATGCCTCGCAACAAGTACGGAGAAGAGATTCGACATCGTTTCGACCCGTCTGAAGACCCTTGGTACTCTTCCGTTCCCAGGTCTGCACTCGTTTTCTACAATCCCGACAAGAACATCTCTCAACTGCGCATTGTGTCCAAGCCAAACCCTACACCGGACGATACAAGTCTAGTTGTCTACATTGACGGTGCGTGTCGAAACAACGGTCGACCAACAGCGCGGGCTTCATACGGTGTCTACTTCGGCCCTAACTCTCCTTACAACTGGAACGGTCTACTTGACGAGTCTCTGCCTCAAACGAGCACGCGTGCGGAAATTGAAGCTTTGAAGCGAGCGCTTCTTATCATCGGTGTAATCACACAGTTGGATCAGAGCCTCTATCGCATCAGAATTGCGACCGATTCAAGCTTCTTAGTCAAAGCTCTGAGCCAGTGGATGGAGCGCTGGATTGAACGTGGTGGGGTGGGCTCAAATGGCAGACAAGTCGCGCACTTCAAGATTTTGAAATGGTTGTACGACTGGTTGAACCGCTGGGAAGATAAAGACGAAACAGGTTGGAGCGAAATACAGCTCTGGCATGTACCAAGGAACATGAACCGAGAAGCAGATGCATTAGCGAACAAAGCTCTTGATGAAGCTTAAGCTGTATACAAAGAAGTAGTACTAATAACCGTTGATGCTTATGCCAATGCAGTATAAACAACAACGCCTTACGCAAATGCAGTGGTATCCAAGAGAACGTGCTAAATGTGAATGCAACAATCCCTCCTCCTTTTCCTCCCTCCGAAAACGCCATCTCTTATTAAGCCATATCCTGATCCGAAGCACCTTTGCCTGCTTCAGTGTTTTCAGGCGGCTCCAATTTCTGTTCCTCTTTCACTTCCTCGTCTTTGATCTCTACTACCTCTGTGGAGACACACGGGGCTCCTGTCTCAACAGCTGGTTTCCTCTTTTGGTTGTTGTATGGGTTCCATCGGGGTACCACGGGTTGTCGCTGGGGCTTGCGGTTATTTGCTTTTGGGTTCTTCGCGATCGATCCATCGTCCATGCGCATCCACTCCGTATCCTCGTTATCGATATGGTCTGAGATCTCTGCATCGTTCTCATCTTCCCAAATCATCAGATTAGTTCCGTTGATCTCGATCGAGCGGCCCCCGGTCCTTGGAACGAAGAAGACATCCGGCCCGGCCTTGCTGAAGTCTTGCTCCCATGTTTCTTTCTGTTGTAGTTTGAGAATATAGTCCATTGGCAAGGCGTATAGAACATTATCGTCCTTGTCGTAAAGTTCCTTGAGCGGGTAGTCCAGACAGGCGAGCCCGAATTTGCAGTCGATCCGACTAGACAGTGGATGTATGCGGCCGCCGAAGATCTTGAGTTCGAAAGCGATTCCACTCTCCGTCCACATGTTGTCGCCGAAGAAGACCTCGGGTTCGGAAAGCAGGGGATGATCGTGATGCGGCCCAGATACCTCACAGAAGTGTGCAACTTCATGGGCCAGACATGTAGCAAGGAACATGTTGTATCGCAATACCATCGCTGGCTCCCTGTATCGTAGCAAACTGAGCTTCTTTGCAGTGGTATAGAAATCCGAGTGTAGGCAGATGCGACTCGTGTGGCACTTGTGATTGATCTTCCGCATCAAACCGTTCTTGTAATCTTTGACGAGACCCATCGATGCATATGCAGTCTCTGGTGGTAGCGGATCGTGGTGGAAGTAGAAGTGGACAGTGTCGATCTGGTTATCCAGAAAGTTCTTGAATGTTACGTGATGCTCTTCAGACCATGGTACGTCCTCTTTGATGCGAAAACAAGGCTGACCATATGCTGCAGATGTCTCCTCGCAGGCCTCCCTCTTGCCAAATACGAGAGTGTGCCAGAAGTGAGCAGTGGCCTGAGATGTCAAGAGCAAGGTGGCTAGTTGCAAAGCCGGTTTCAAGACCTCGTAGATTCCATCCGGACACCCGTGCCAGTTATCTAGACGGAAAATAGGGTGTATCTCGTTGTCTAGCGTGCAGACAGGTGCGGGGACATCCTTTCCAAATGCTACAGCTTGTTTCTTGATCAATTCGACTGGATCAAACCCAAGCCTGACGGGTTTCTTCTTTGTCGCGTCTTTGCGATGCCCAAGTAACCTGCGGTACTTCTCCAACGCCTTGCGATCCTCTATCTGAGCGAGATGGTGGTTTATCGAGATGCTGAGCTGCAGCCCAAAGTCCTTGGGCACTTCGATCGTCGAAGGAGTGAATGAAAGTGATTTTTGATAATTCAAGACGTCCGGCAGATCATGAACCAGCTTGTCAATGCATTCATCCATGATCTTCCCCTCTTTGAGCTTGTGCAGGAGCACTGCGTTCTCGCCACGATCTTCGGCCTGCAGATCACCGTCTCCACCACCAGGTAGAAGATGACGCATCTTTCTCGATAGAGTCGGGGGTGGTCCACATTCTGGAGGTGGAGTATTCGATTCCGTAGGCGTCCAGTCCATGCTGTCCGGATCTTGCTCCTGGAAGGCGGCTTCTGGTACATCGCCATCGTCATCGACTGTGCCTTCCTCATTGAGCTGAACATCTTGATTCAGACGTTCTTCGATGAGTTGCGTTGTATGCACCATGGCCTCATACGCCTTCCGATATCTAAAAGGGTCCATTCTGGCGGGCGTCAGTATCCTGGAAGGGTTGGGCCGAGGTGGTTGCAGTTTCGTTCCAACTTGCGCTCAAACGTGGCAGAAGCGAAAGTGGTGGGATTAGGTAGCAGTCACGTCGAAGATGATCCAATCATGGGGCTGCCTTGTTGTTTTGCACCAGTGCGTTGCGTGGCTGCATCAGTCGAGGAACAATGTCTCTTCCTACGTGCCCTGAATGGATATGTCGCGCAGTTCGATCCCGACTGAGTCGCAGGGAGGAGGCAGAGTGTCCAACACCTGCCATCTCACCGAGCTTGGCTATGAAGCGTAGGTGTGGATGTTTCGGCTGCTTAGAGGGAAGTCTGGAGTGGGGTATTCTTACTAAGTCGACGAAGCGGTCAACACCCGCTAAGCGATAGAAAGGGGTCTATCCAAAATTAAAGCTAAATGATGGAAAATGAGGGTAGCGTTGAGTTCGTGTATCAGCGAAGAGAACGAACGGTGTGCCTGGATGAGCTGTTTACGCGCTAGCTTCTACTGGCGCCAAGGAATTACGCCGCTAGCTTTTCGTCACCGGTTGACGCACGTCACACTCCTGAACGGCATCTCATCGTCATTCCAGCCACGACAGCGTTGTCGCATCTCCATCGCCGTCAGCTCCGGACGTTCCGCAGATGGTGACCATTGCCACCAATGCTATGGACCACCCGAGCCACTCACATCACGCACAAGTGCACGAGCGATGTGCTGCTGTCGCGACCCTGCCCAGGTATCCAGCCCGTGACAACGACGAAAGTTCCAGAGGAATGCCGTATAGCTTAGCAGAGATTGCTTTGGTGACTTGATCTTGCCATTTCTCATGGATCTCAGACGACGTGCAAAGGCCGATCGAATCGACGGGAAAGCGCGCCGAGCTTACAGCCGACCGCGAAGCATGATGAGCCAGCTGTGTCGGCTAAGAGAAGTCGACTTGGAATTTTGATTGGGAAAAACGAAGTCGGACGCTTTCATACCTGCAGTGGTGCGCTCCCACGGAAACTGCACTCTCTAGTGTTCAGATACGATGACTGCTTTACCAGCTACACGAGCTCTTCTTCGATCTCGACATCACAGCCCACCTACAACGATCATCACCAGGCGCACATGAAACCCCAAGTGCTTGTGTGCCCAGGTCGCATATTCAGACCAAGAAGTTGAGTGCTTCATATTCTGCGTCTGACGAGAGGATACAGTCTTTGCTCCAATCTTAGCGATACTCATGCGAAGGCGTCATGGAGAACTATACAGTCTGAGGCTTCATGCTCCAAACTTGGCGTTCGCAAGGGGCCGCGTGGGTGCATCGCAGCAACATTGAGCGCCCGCGGTCCGTGGGCTAGGTAGTGGGGCGGTCGTGTTGCTGTTGGGGTGTTGCTGTCCGCAAGAACTAGATGGTATGGAGCTTTGAATCGGATACCCTTTGCATATGCACAATCGTTGAGAAGGTAAGGAACGTAGTAACCTGTAAACAGACAATCGGAGAGCGCCGACGCGGAGCATAACGCACGTCCTTCGCTTTCGGACGGATTGTTAAGAGCGCTGGGCGCTCCCTATTGGACGCTTCAAATTTAGATACCCATGCCGGGGTTTTTCATTCTCCGCCTCATGCCTCTCCACACAACTCCGCGCTAGGATCCAAATTTGGGGGCGAAAGCAATCAACTCGGTGCGTTTCTGAACACGCCGAGTCAGAAAGCACCGAGGGTATTGCATGATCACGATAAAACAACGTCAAGAACCATGGGATGAAAATTAGCCACGAAGATCACCATATCAAAAATGCTTTCGGGAGTTGCACTAATCACAGAAGCCGGATCTGGTACGTTTTCTTGTTGCTATCTTTGCATTATTATGACTTGCAAAAGACATGCAGCAAAGGAGATAGAAGGCTAATACTGCGTTGCAGGCTTCGGCCAGAGCGCCGCATACTCGCTGGCCCGCAATGGTGTTAAACAATTTGCCCTTGTCGACACCAACGAGGCTGGACTGCAAGAGACAACGCAGACGCTAGCATCGCAGTACAAGGTGACAGACGTGCTGAGTGTCTCCACTCCATGCAGCACGGAAGAGTCCGTCGAGGCTGTCGTTCAACAAGCCGCGTCACGCTTCGCTCGTATCGATTTCGTCATTCTGAATGCCGGCTTCGGTGGGCCCATGGGCGGCAGTCCCGACACGGCACCCGCCGCATTCGATACCCACCTCAAAGAACACGTGACTGGTGTCTGGCTCTGGCATCGGGCCGGGATACGGCAAATGCTGCGGCAAGAGCCGCGCGACTCGCGATATGGCCGTGGCAGTATCGTGCATGTCTGCTCAGTGCATGCCTTTGCCGCTTCACCCCCTCAAGTCGCTGCTGGTGCATATGTAGCGGGTCGACATGCTATCCTCGGTCTGACACGTTCTGAGGGCGTGCTGTATGCACCCCAGCAGATTCGTATCAATGCGCTCTGCCCTGGGTACATCATGTCGCCGCTCATCGCGTCCTCGGAACAGACCAAGGCTTTCATCGATAACCTTGTGCGAGAGCGTGTGCCTGCAGGCCGGCTGGGAGATGCTGAAGAGGTTGCTGATGCTGTTGTGTTCTTGGCTGGGCCCATGAGCAGCTACATGTTTGGTCAGTCATTGGTACTGGATGGGTATGTATTGTTCAATCTTTACGTGAGAAACCATGAAGCGCTGACTGGTGATAGGGGCTATTTGGCTCAGTGAGGTGCCACGATGCTGTAGGATAATAGGAGATAATACATACGTACCTCAACTTCTTGTCTCGAAGACGAACATCATACCGAGAGCATGTGAAATGCTTTCTCCCAATGGTTCAACACATTATTCTTGGGTATAGTGCTAACACAGATTGCCTGCCGCACCGTTGCTCAGCAGTGAGCGCGCTTTGAGACGGCCGATACATGCGCGCACTAGACTGAGATTTGCGCGGACGAGGTCAAGACAAGCTGGCGCAAAAGCCGCTTTCCCGTTGGGCGTTCCATTCGCCCCTTTATCGGGAGAAGACGCGGTAGACGACGAGGATCCAGATGTGACGAGAGCGGCTTCGAGAGAACCTAAGACGGCTGAGAAGCCTGTCAGGCGCAACGTCATCAGTTCGTTGCTGAGCGCATCGGCTTCGTCGGCAGCGAGATCGTAGTTGCCGAGGGAAAACTTCCAAGGCTGATTGGCATGCGGGCTCTCGACAGTGTTGCTGGTGTTGGGCGGGGGTGTACTTGTAGTCGTGGTGTTGCCGTTGCTGGCATCCGTGGATGCTTCTGCGACGGCCTCTTCATGAAGGTGCCATAATCGACACAGCCAGTCGACCAGATGAGCGCACAAGATGGTGACGGCAGTGAGTGGGAGTCGTTGTTGGCGACATCGTTCGCAGCTCAGTACAGCGAGACAAGGTCGTTCTGCCTCGGAGGTGACTTGGAATGCGGTTTCGAGTGGTACTTGCGATGAAGTGGTGTATTCCTCAACGCGCGCGAGCGTTCGCAAAGCGAGAAAAGCACAACCACAGTCAACGCGATGCATCTTCGTTTGGTTATTCGAGTATCGTGGAAACAGTCCTGACGGTATAGTCGTGACAGTTACATCTTATGGCGTCACCTTCGCCAGGGAGCCCTGTCACTGTCGGGTGTCGGATGTCACCTACCGAGCTCGGTGTGTTCTGAGTCAAGATCCCGAGGGGGTGGGTACCCGTCAGCCCAGTAAGATACAGTGCTTATCCTCAGGTAGCGGTGCTATATCGACAACTCGATAAGGTATAGCATCGTTCAAACGCTCAACACCAATAATGCGCCGAAGATCTTGGATGGTGCCGGGCTGACTGTGTTCGGAAGTACAAACAACGTAGAAGAACTGATTATTTGCACCACCCCATCACCCCATTATCCAAACCTTTCGCAGACTTGATCTCAGAGCTGAGAATATTACAACACCCTCGTATTGTATTCACCCAACATGGCTCCTTACGACAGTCCCGCAATTGCCGCAGGCTCCACCGTCCTTGTAACAGGGGCCAACGGTTTTGTTGGCGCTCACGTCACAGACCAGCTTCTCCAGCAAGGCTACAAGGTGCGAGGCACAGTGCGCGATGCCAGCAAGCACCAATGGCTCGCAGATCGTTTCTCGCAGCAGTATGGCGATAACAAGTTTGAACTCGTGACTGTCAAGGACATGAGAGAGCCCGGCGCGTTCGACGACGCGGTGTCAGGTATTCCCACCGCCTAAACAAAACACCGTTTCATCACTGACAAGTCTTACCGTCCAGGTGTCTCCGGAATTGTGCACGTTGCCTCAGTACGGGACATGGGTGTCACACCAGACGAATTGCTCCGAATCACCGTGGCCGGAACTCTGGGCTGTTTGGAAGCCGCAGCCAAAGAGCCCAGTGTGAAGCGCTTCGTGCTGACGTCGTCTTCAGCTGCGGTCCGCTCGCTGCAAGCATACCGAGGGACTGACACAGTGTCTGCGGATGAGTATGACGAGCAGACGCTGGCCTTGTCTAAGAACATTCCAGATTCGCTTCCACCGATGCATAAGTTCATGATCGCGTACTTTGCTTCCAAGGTCGCGGCCGAACAGGCATTCTGGGAGTGGATCAAGAACAACAAGCCGCACTTCTCTGCCAACGCAGTGCTGCCTTGCACTATCTACGGTAGTCCGCTAGACGTGGCCCACCAGGGCTTTCCGTCTACAGCGCGTATCCCGCTCCAGATCTTGGACGGCGATACTGACTCCATCAAGCATGTACAGCGTTGTATGTAACCCCTGCTCTTTCCAAATGTGCAGCGCAAACAACAGCTAACACTAGCGCAGTCTACTATGTCCACGTCCAGGACGTCGCTCGTCTCCATGTTGCCGGCTTGATCAACCCAGCCGTCAACGATGAACGCATCTTTGCTTACGCTTCGTCTTACTCAATCAACGAGTTCTTTGACATTTTCGCAAAAGCTGTCCCAGGTTACAAGCCGCGAGACAAGCTCGAGGGTCTAGATTTCCCGTTGGCGGAGATCGGACCGCGAGCTAGGGCGGAAGCACTGTTGAAGGAACTTGGCCGGCCGGGATTCATGGGGCTGGAGGAGACAATTACTGATAGTGTGAAGACACGTATCAGTGCTTCTTCGTAGCTTTAGCGGACGATAATGGAATAGTGTACTGCAGTTCGCACTTGAATGCCAGATGAAGAAGGCGAAGCAACGGATCTTACCGAGTGCCTTCGTATCCTCATGAGTACTTGCACGTGTGCTATGCGATGATAAGGTAATGACGTTAGATCCGGGGTTGTTCCGGGCAGAGAGAAGGTGTTGTAGACACCCAGGTACCTAGGTACTCACGATACTGTACTGTGCGATGACGAGCGATCGATGAGGCTCTCGCACTTGGAGTCGTCCCCTGACCCACTCGGGCCGAAATCTCCAAGCGGGGCACCACGCTCTTATTGGCTACCACCGCGCACGTGCCGTGAACTCCGAGCTTCCAGCGGCGGCCCCCACAGGTGACAGGACCTGCCTCTTCTCCTGTCACTTCAGCGGTGTCGCAGATTGAGCGGCAAACACCCCATCAACTTTTACATCCGATCCATCAACTGGCGGCCTTGCAATAGCCAATAGGACAGAGCAGATCTGATGGCGACAGAAACAACCAAATCTGCACGAAGTAGACATCAGATTCGGACAAGAAACTAAAGAGATCAGATTACTTCATACAAGGATGGAACCCCACCGCTTTTCCTTCGTACACTAACAAGACAAAACGCCGTTCCCACCAGAATTACTATCTGAAAACATCATTCGCTCATGAAGACTCCTCCTTCGCCTCCTCCGCCAATGCCTCGCGCATGGACTTGCTGTTGGGGTCGAAGTAGGGCTTCTCTCCAATACCGCACACGCGGTATCCGAAGCGGTTGCCGTGGTCGTCGTAGTCCATGGTCGCGTTGTGTACCATGCTGCGGTTGTCCCAGATGGCCATGTCGTTTGGACCTTGCCACCTGAAGCGGCATTGAAGATCATGGTTACGGAGTACCATGTCCATCAGCCAGTTCAGGATCATGTCGCTCTCTGGCTGAGTCAGGCCGTTGATGGATTCAGGCTGTTGGAGTGTCTGGTTAGTGGATGTATGGCTTGAATGCTGGAGCGAGACGTACGTATGCACCGATGGAGAAGACACTCTTCCATCCTGTGACGGGGTTTGTGCGGATGACCGGGTGTACGGCCTTCAGAGGGTTGCCGGTGTTCTCGGGGTGGCCACGCGCCTCTGTGTAGACCTGGAGCTTCGAGTTCTTGATGATCCGTTCGAAGACTGCGGAGAGACTTGTTAGAGGGCACGAAGTTCGCTAGCAGCTGGCAGACTTACATGGTGCGGTATAGTTTGCCGTCTTTCCTTCAAGCATCTTGCGCATGGGCTCGCTAATGCGGTCATAGACCTCATATCCAGATGCCCACAATGTGTCTCCTCCACAGGTGGGTAGCTCCACAAGCCTCAAGCATGTGTAGTCGGAAGGCACCTGCTCGGACTGGATGTCGCTGTGCCACGACTCAAGCGCCTGTCTTACATTTCCTAGGTCACGAGGTACGGCCTTGCCGTGGGCCATGATTCGCTGACGGGAGTTGATGGTGCTGATGTGCAGGTCGTTGCCACCCATCGGGGTGTTGGGGTTGAGTACGGGGTGGATGTGCAGGGTCGACTCCTTCGGCTTTCCCACTAGCTCACCCATACGTTGGATCAGCTGCTTCTGGAGATCGTTGGTCATGTCGTTCTGGTTGCGGAAGAAGACGACTCCACGTCGCGCGACTAGAGAGAACACATTCGTCAGCTCTGTCTTCTCGAGAGTAGCGATTTGCGCGCTTACTCGTGATGGCGAGGTCTCTGAGAAGCTCATCCGAGTTGGGTGCGTTCAGCATCTGAACGAGATTCGCCTCTGGGAACTCGGTGCCCACTGTAGGCGTAACTAAGAATTGCTTCAAAGGCTTGAGGACGCCCTTCAGTTTCTGTGGCTTCGGGAACGGTGTCTCTTGAGCATATCCTCGGCGCAGGCATGGTGAACGAGCTGGTTGCAGTGCGGCGAGACGGAGCGCTGGCGCAGCGCGGCAAAGCAAGGTACTGGCGGTTCTCGACATTGTGACTGATGAGGTATCTACTGACTGAAAGCAGAGGATAATGAGAAGCAAACGACGATTGATTCTATGAAAGCAGTCTAGCTACTGTAATAATAGATGCCATGGGACCCCATCTGGACTCGGATAACCGAAGAGACCGAAAAGTCGGCGCATTTTGCTTACTCTACTGTGGTAGCCGGGGCATATGTTCGATGTGGTACGAGCTATGAACCACGATCACCAACATATCAACTCACACAGCTATCTTGAAGACGTCATCGTTTCTGCCTTTTATCCATGCATACTTCACCCAGGGTGCTGCTTTACCTAGGTAGGCTTAACTTTGTACTCGCAATCTGGGAAATCCCGCGAGTACAGTGTCTCTAGTCTACAATCCACGTGCGGACAGCATGGGAGAGCGAGCCTCATCGGTGATGCACGAAGACCCACAGTGGCCGGTTGCGTGTCGTGGCTCGGAGTATTTGTGGAACTTCGGGCCGAGCCCACTGCGGGATATTTTGAGTACCTGAACAGCGAGTACACACCCGATAGTCCACCACCGGCAGTTGCGATCGCGTACCATGCCAATGTTTTCGTTACTCACCGAAGGCTCAATCGCTGGATCGAATCGATCAAAGGTGGCACTACACTACTTCGGCCGGCCTTCTCAAACACCGAGAATGGCATAGTATGCTGAAGCCGGATCTTGTGTTTTCGGCAGTTCGCGTGCGTTCAAGAGGTGTCGTTTCTGTCCATAGGCATATACTCTCCGTGCAACTTGAAGGTTTTATCCTGGAACGTACAGACTTTGCACGGGATTAAGCTCCATAACCTCTTTCATTCTCCTTTCCAGCCACATTCCAGAGAATACAACATCACTTAGGAGCTATGGCAAAGAAACTAGCTGTTATCACCGGTGCGACTGGCAACCAAGGTGGTTCCATCGCTCGCGGGTTGCTCAAGTCTGGTGACTGGCAGATCCGCGCAGTGACCAGGAATCCGAGCGGAGAGAAGGCCCAGAAGCTTGCTGCGGAGGGCATGGAGGTCGTTCAAGGAA